TTGTCTAATCATTACATATTTGTCAACACAATGCTTTAAGTTACAAGATATGCTGATTGTGCAGAATTGCACAGGGTCATCTGCAGGGGTTTTTCTAGAAAAAAATTGCAAGAGGAAGCACTGCAATACAGCGGCGCCACCAAGTGGGGGAGATACGGTTCTCCTTACCAGAGTGTAAAGTTTTGATAATTCTGAATTAAAATGGAGCATTCTATGGCTTCCTTGGGACCAAAATTACTATCAGACAGGTCAACATTGAGGACTGGGGCCACATGTGATCCCTGGTCAATCAGAATTTTATGGTTGCTAGAGGATCTGCTCTCCAGGGTAAGGGGAGCATGGCCATGGCATGATGAGGGCGCTGCGCTCCTGTTCCCTTGTTTAAAAAAATCCCTGTAAATGTATTCTGCTAGTTAAGATTGACAAACTTTATTACACAAACTAATTTGAGTGTTTAATGCAATATGGACTTACCTGGAATGGAGCAATCTGGTCCAGTATAAGTAGCAGGACATTGACAATTACCATTTAGACAATACCCACCATTTACACAAGATGGAATGCATGGAATCTCTATAACTACAATCAAAAGATTATGTTACATAAAATTGATGACAACAAGTCACGCATGGCAAAGTTCCCGTTAGTTATCAAATTTAAGATATATAGTTTTGTTTATAGTAATATGGTTGGAACATAAACATGTCAGCGATATGGATCCAGAAGCTGATGCTAGATTGTGATGATTTTTTAACATTAAAATGATTGACATCTTGCATCTGATCATCAAACGAGTACTTGTCCATATTGAGAGATATTGCACTGGAACAGCAATATATAAAACAAAATGGCCACTGGTCAGCCATTTTGGATACATCTTTATATCTATGACATAATGTATATGTAAAATTTGAACATAATCAGTCAAAGCTTGTCAGGATATGGCTCTAGAATCGTATTCATTAAAACAAAATGGCCGCAGGTCAGCCATTTTGAATCTGATCTGAAAAACAGTTTGAAAAAAATCCGTCTGTAAACAGCCAAGATCCGGTTCCAGAATGCCAGAAATGCTTGATTTCAGTACAAAAATGGCTGTCATTCAACTATCTTGAATCAGATCTTGAAACAAATTGATATGCATATGTATAATATTATGTATGATGTATGTGTGAAGTTTGAATGTAATCGGTGCAGGCATGTCTAAGATATAGGTCTGGCTACACGCACGCACGGATGCACGAACTGTGTCCAAAAAATTATGATGACCTTTAAATTGAGTTAAACTGGTCAAGATATGGATATGTGACTGTGACATTATTATATGGACACTTCCATGCCTTGTAATACATACCAGTTGAACAATCTGGTCCAGTATATCCATATGTACATACACATATATCACCAACACATATCCCATCATTCTGACAATCATCATCACAACTAGTCACTATGTGAACAGAAAATATTAAATAAATAAGCAAAAGTAATGTTTAACACACTGTTATTATTCACCACTTGGTAGTTACACTGGACAGTATACAAACTGGAAGCCATTTCCCACATAACTTTGAATTGTTCAAATCATTCAAACTTGAGAATGTGATGTTATTCATAAATTATCTGAAATCATTGCAATCAACAGCAATCCCTTGCAGAAATGTCAACATATATTGCCTATTTATGTGTCCAAATACTGAATTTAAATAATATACAAATAATTTGCATTTAACAACTAGCTTTACGATTGAAGAATTCTACACATTTTCAGCACTAGAAAATAAATAATCTTAGCAGCAGACTATAGGTAGCTGTCAAAACAACATTTAATCTTATTGGATCAATAATTACGAAAAAAATATACCCAGTATATGTTAAGATGGATAAGCTTTATTATACATGCGTTAAA